TAACACAGACAGAGGACAGCAAAATGAACGCACTTGCATTAATCGATTGGTGGATATCTAGACACAACGAGAAGGTTGGCCATTGCAGTATCGTGTCCAGAGTTCATCCCGCATCCTAGCCGTCGTCAGGGAGGACTGGTATCGTTCGAGGCCGCCGTGACATCGAGACTTGGACTGATGAATCCACTGACAGAACGTCGCCAAGTTCAGACGCTATCAGACATCCATCATCTAAGCATCAGCCTGCTTCTGGATGTCCGCCTCAGCACCGCGCTGCAGCGTCTTGCCCTGGTCGTGCTGAGCCTGTCTCTTCTCTTGCTCCGCCTTGTCGCCAGTCAACGACGCAGCAGCACCTCCGACCGTGCCGCTGACACGATCCGCAATGCCGGAGCCATAGTCCTTGACCTGACCTGCTGCCTCTTGCTCCTTGCCTTCCTCGTTCTGGCGGACGCCCTCCTTCTTTAGACCCTCGGCACCAGTGAGGTTACCGAGCATCTCCTTGCCGCTGCCGACAGTCTGGTTCCAAGAACCCTGGGTGCGGTCTTGGTTGTCTGCGGCGACACCGGATGAAGATGCGGTGATCGGGCCCGCCTTCGCGGTAGTATGAGAGAGGTCAGATTCCGCCTGGGCATCTGCCTTCGTCGACTCGCCTTGGTTCTAAGAAGTGGTGAGCACGTGTTTCCTAGTAGGCCACCCTCCATCTCTCGAGCGGGCCTCTAGAAGGTGGAAGGGGGAGTGAGCTTCATCCACAAAAGAATGCTAACCTTGTCTGCGGTATTGCCTGTGATGGAGCCAAGGACTGACTGAGCAGCGCCCTGAGCCTGCTTGAACATGGAATTAAGAGTGGAGTCGTTAGGATCGGTAGACATGGTGATGGTTTGTGAAGTTGTTGTGCGTGTGAGCTCGTGCCGGAAAATAGATAGCTTGATAGGTCAGCGGTGCGGGAAGTTCGGCGGGAAGAATTGGGTGCGAAGCGTAACTAGGCTTTATAGTCTCAAGGTTTGCGTCCTTGCCTTACTTGACATTGCGGGCTCGCAAAATCCCGATCGTTCAAAAGAGAGCTTTGAGCTTGCATGTGAACACAGCCACCAACGTCATCCCGCAGCTGTCAACAGGCCCTGCGCCATGATGCAAGGGCGTGACATTCGCGTGCTCCCGAACTTCCTCACTCATTCGATCAACGGTTTCACACCCTACTTTGAACGTCTGAGTGCCTATTGTTAGGGTTGGATCATGTCTGGCAAGTCAATGCTTGATGCAAGAAAACGTTGCAACCGGTATACCTACGATCGAGATCGAAAAAGCACCGCAAAGAGAAGAAACAGTTACAGCCCGCGAAGCAAGCGAGGAAAGCAATGCATTACCAGGCCAGGAAAACGATGTTGCATTAGAAGACCTGGAGCAGACCGGACAGCCAAAGCCTTGTCGCCTGCGAGCCATATCGAGACACGTCCTCGTTGCTACTCAGAGTCACGTGCCAGAATGGAATCGGCAACAGGTTCGAACGATGCATAGGATGCATGAGGGACAAGGCATTGATCATAATGCAGAGGCCGTCTTGACTCGGAAAAATAGAGATCGCAATGTGACTCATGTCTTCTCTACCTTCATCTTCATTACCATTGAGCAGATCTCGGTCTAATTCCGTTCTTCTTCAGTATGTTCAAACAGAGAAGTATCCGAATGATACATAACGCAAGATATCAGCACGAAGTACCAAACGGACTCCTAGACTTGCTCGACTTCCTTCTTCCCTAGTGTCACTGCGACCTGTCCCGTCATCTTGCTGTCAACATTTGGAGAGAAGAAGCTGGTTACGACAGAAATACCGGTGAATGCAATGGTAGTGAAGAAGACCGTCGAATATGCATCGGCACTTGCCGTCTTATATGCCGTCGTCCCCACAGCAAGGATTGAGTCTGTCAAGCCTGGCACGCCTGTGAAGCTTCCAGTTGTTAAGCCTTGCAAAAAGGCTGTCACCGAGGAGGCGGGCAGGCCAGCTGCAATGACAGCCGGTGGCACAATGGCCGGAACCGTGGCAGTCAGACGATTGGACAGCACTGACAGATACACCGCGCTCGCCACCGAGGATATGGCCGAGCGAATGGATCCTGCAGCGCCAACAGCGGTTCCGATCTCACGCTGGTCGAGCAGCTCAATTCCCGCATTGGAGAGGCATACGCTTTCGTTCCATCCGATGAAGAAGCAGCCAAGGATGATCAGGGCTATGGCGGCGGATTTGTCGGCTACGTTGGAGACCGCTGCAATGGCTGGGTCACCTTGTCAGCATTTGATAGTCAAAACCGAACAAATTCGTTGTAATTTCGAAGTATTCATCTCGTTGAGACTGACCTCCGATTAGAGCACCACCAATTATAAGAACGCTTATGCATTGAATCTTGGTCTTCCCAATGGGCTCGGCTGCGAAGCCGGCAACAATTTGACCTGCATTAATCATCACGCTCGGTGCACAGCTAAGCCAGCCAGCGTACATTGACGCGCCGCCATCGTTGGTGTACAGCACAGCAACCATCTGAGGCCAGATGATGGCCATGGCGTAATAGATACTGTTCCCAAGATCAGCTCAAGGTGCAGTACTGGACACATGAGCTACCAACCTTGCTCCCAAACCCAGCAGGATGCAGGCCGCAACCCAGCTGAAGTTCTTAAAAAGATGAATCGGTAGAAGCGGCTCCTTGAGCTTCGCATAGTTCTCCTACAATGCAAACACAATGATGATGAGCCCCCCGACAGCCATGGTCGAGATGACATGGGCTGATCTCCAAGGATATACTCCACCGCCCCAGGAAAGACCGAGTAAGAACAAAGTAAATCCGGCGACGAAGAGGACCGTGCCAACGTAATCAAAGTCCCGTAGTTGTTGCATGACGGTGCGCTCCTGGAACTTCATGTGGAATGTTGGGGGGAAATAGAAGAAGTAGAATAAGAGGCCCGATATGAAGTTGATGATAATCATTATATAGTACGCCCTACAAGCGAGATCGTCAGCAATCATTCGCCCCGAGTTTTGCTTGGGGAAGTTCCGACACTCACCAACGCCAGCCAGCGCTCGTGTACAGTATGAAGGCCTTGGACACAGCTGGACCGAACCCCCCAAAGGGCAGGCAGAAAACGTACATGACGGCGTTTGCCGCAAAACGATGCTGTCAGACCTGCTTAGCGCGTTCTTGTGGACAGCTAACAAATCAAATTACCTTCATTGGTACCAGCTCGCCAGTAATGAAGGCGAATGACTGCTGTCCGGACGCAGCAAGACCGATCAACGTTGTACCACCAATGAGAGAACCAATATTCTGTGCTGTGGCGCAAATAACGCATCCGATGAGCGCGAGCGCTGCGGAGCCGATGAAGAACCACTATCTCCCGTCAGCGATGTGCTCGAGTCTGGCAGAGAACTGCGGATTAGAGAAAGACTCACCCGTCGTCCGAACAGATCACTCAATCGGCCCACAAGGATGAGGCCGACGGCCAGCGTCAGCGTGTACACCAAAGACACCCACACAATGTTAGGGTCGGGACCGATGTCATTGTTAATGAGAGCGAGATTGGGCGCCGCGAGGCCGAAGCCACCGACTGCAGCCGCGAGCCCCAGCCCGGTGGCTGCCATAGTGCCGAGGAAGAATGAGCTATAGAAGTAGCCTGGCTGTAGGGTAGCTTGATCCGCCGTGAAGCCATGGACTTCTGTGCTGTCCAAGGACGCTTCTTTGCCATCCGAGTCCACGTTTTCATGGTGCTCGACGGTTTCGATGGGGCGCGACATATGGCGCTTCTCCGAGACCATGGTAATGGAAGCAAATTACGCGTAGGGGAGAGAAGTGCGGACAATGTTTGGGATCCTCCATAGTCGCAGACGCAGGAGTACATATGTGTTGATGGACGGTAAATGAGAACGAGACTGGGAGAACCTCAACCGGCAGAGTTCCGCTAAAAGAAGTCCGGTTGTGGAATCTTGTCGTCTGGTCACTCGAGTCAGGTCGTGTTGCTTGCAACATGATCCGATTGCCAATCTGAGAAAGTCTGGGGTAGAAGCCGGCGTCAAGGCAACGTCACTTCTACAGTCGTTCGTAGAAGTCTCTAACGAGTCGTTAGCTGGCTCGACAGTGAATCTGCACACCCCGCAACCTGGACTTCTTGGAAAAACCATGCCAGGGCATAATCTATGCAACACGATACAAACCCGCCTCGAGAGGAGAAGTGCAACCGCGACTCCGGATCGTGAAGCGACAGTCCCCGAGTGCGGGGAACAGGCAAGCAGCCTGCTGTGCTTCCTTCACACTACACAGTCGTGATACCCAAGTCCATGGGTTGAATAGCATTGCGCTATGCTTCCAAAAATGCATCCTGAACATAAGGCACGGCACCTGATCACCTGCATGTACAATTTCTCCAAAACATCCTGTAAATCAGCCTGATATGTGGCCACGATATACGAATATTCAGACTACCTTTTACAAAAGAGACTAACGTACACAGTCCAAACCTACATGCTCAGGATATTGCGGAGGACAGATAGACACGCTTCCGAGTGGTACTATATCAAGAAGCCTTGAAGAGTGTACTGTTTTAGATCCTCAAGCCGCACAATGTTGAGTGCTCCGCAACTATCGCTAGCTACACATCCCCATTCTGTCAATGTATCGTAAGACCTCCTAGTGGCATGAGGTTCCGTTTTGGTCTGAGGTCTGAACGGTCACGAGCATTCTCGGGATATCGACAATGGTCCGTACAAGCAATAATGGATAGGTGCCCTAGCACCGAGCTTCTAGGGGTTTCGGGACCTAGTTCTCGGACGCTAGACCGAAGCTACCTAGGATTCGAAGGTCCCACAATGCGTGACCCGATTGTTCAACGCATAGAAGGGACAGATGGATGGAAAAAAACCAAAAAGGTAAATCTAACTGCCCCCTGACAGAGTCGAACTGGCGACCTCGACATGGCAGAGTGAATTAGCTACTAGTGTCGCGCTCTACCAACTGAGCTAAAGGGGCAATTGATGCTGGTCCTGATCCAAAATCATTTATTATAGTATCAAATTTTGATCTGTACGTGTCGGAGCAGCCCAGAAGCACAACACGCGAGCTCCAACACACGCTGAGAGATATTCTCACCTAGTCTTTCATACACTTCCTTGTCAGTCATCGCAGGCAGCGTTTCGCGAGACCACCATGAAGCAAGTATCTGCGACTTCGACAAGAAACATACGTTGAGTAGTTAACGCAACTTGTTCGACCAAGCACGCTGTTAGCACGTTCTGGACGTTCCCTGATGTTGAACATCGGATGCTGGCATCAGTGACATTTCAATCATGAGAAGCATACTATTCGGACTGGCCAGAGACGATCGGCCTTCGATGAGGGCGTGCTGCAACTAGGAAGGGAGGAGTGGCAGCGTGGAAGACATCGAAGTGCAACAAAGACTCAACCCGATACTATGCCCAGCGGCTTCGTGCGTAGACATTTCAGGTTCCGCCTGAGGATTCACAGTCGAAAAATAAACGCATTCTGCGCTCGATGGCAAGCGCTACCGTTCTCGTAGGCTCATGGCACGACGATACTGACATAGATTGCCTTGTAGTGCGAATAAGGCTTGCCTATCCGCACAACCTTTCGTGCAACCTTCGCCGTCGCCGTAAGCAGATCCATATAAGGCTCATGCATTTGGCAACGAATTATGGTCTTAAGGGCAGGTCTTCGAAATCTTTGAAACCATCGTCCGAATAGTATCTCATCTCGGAGTGTCGCCGTCGGGATACTAGATTCCAATTCATGTGACACTGTCCAACATACAAACATATATACAGATTGAAAAAGAAGCGAGAATGTGTTGCTTAGAGAACATGCTTTTTCGATATGCGTCCAACAAGCCTTACAAGCGAGAACAGACTCTAGTGAAGACTCAACCTAGCGAAAAAGGCCAGAACCACGGAAAACCTTCCCTCATTTCGAAGGAGTCCGCGTCTCTGGAGATATGCATGCTGTGCAAAGAGCGAGTATGAATGTACAGAAGCGAGTCAAAGTACTGTCCCGGCAACAGGCGGGTTTTAACACAGGCGACATCAAAATACACTCTTCCAACAACATTGAGGTCGTTTGTGCAGTGACTCGAATCGGAACTGTCTGCAGGCAGTGGGCGGCGGACTGTGTTGCTTTGCCTTTGAATTTGCACTACCAGGAAGCATCAAATTCGTATCGACCTCAGATGCCAGTCGACTAAACCTGAAAGACACGGTCCCAACGAAGCTACCAACAGTAGAGACAGTGCATGCCTGCGCAGAAGGCCGCTATTATAGCTGAGCAAGGCCTCCTGCTAGTCGGTCCTGAAAAGTACCTTTAATCTCATTCGACACGCACATTCGCCAGACGAAGCTCTGGAAATTGTTGATGAGCCCTTGTCCACTGTGCAGCGTCCAGACTTACGCACGACGAACCCGGTCAGGCTCGTGCCATAGCTGCATGCGAAGCATCGCCGGCCTCTGGGGCAGCTGCAGCGATATTAGCCGCGTCACACCATTAAGAGGCTTGTTGACGGTAGCGTTGTTAGCGACGGAAGCGCGATGATATGCAGCAAGTTCCAGCAACGTCTTCCGTGCGGGAAGTTGAGGAAGCTTTCTGCCTAGTTGGAATTGCTGGCGAGGTTGTTCCCCTTTGCGTTTTCGCGTGAACATTCCTCCGACCTGTTCCATCAGCGAGGCACGTGACGCGTGTCAAACTTCCGTGTGTGGCTGGAGACAATGCTTGTGCCTTCAGAACTCATGGCGTTCGGAGACTCGAGATTGTAACGTCGAACGCAAGCCTGGCGACAAGCGTTTGTTTAGGGTATAACGGCAGCTTCGAACGCATTTGGAGCCATTATCGAGAGACTCTAAGAACAGTCACGACCTTCTCAGCACCGCGAACCGTCACATTCACCACCGAAAACGGACCCGACACCTGAGCATCGCCTCTCACCACACAACATAACTAACAGAGTCTCACAACCCGAAAATCAAACGCAGTAACTCACCTTAAAAATCAATTTCCAAAGCCCACATCAACACAGCCTAAAAACGAGCGCACAATCTGCGTCCCTCCTCCTAGCGACCATGCCTCCCTCCAGAATCACAACCTCCACCTCCATCCCCACCTTCGCCCAAACCCAGCTCGCACTCCTAGACCGCGAGCTCCAAGCCGAACTGGTCGAAACCTCCCTCCTCGCCTCCCAGCACGCGCCCGCGACACTAGCCCGCGCCGGCCTCGCTATACTCAATCTCCAGATATCCTCGCAGCGCACCGGTCTGGGCGGCAAGACGGTGCTGGAGCTCAGCTTGGACCCTGCTGTCGCGGACACGACTTCGTCTT